TTATGTCAGGTGTGTCTAAAAAAAATTCCCTAGACAATACAAGATGCTACAAAGTAAACGAGAGACTATATTTAAAGAGATGTAGGATCCATATGCCCTAAAATAAGAGACATTATGTCAGGTGTGTCTAAAAAAAAATTCCCTAGACAATGCAAGATTTCACAAAGTAAAAACGAGAGACTATATTTAAAGAGATGTAGGATCCACGTACCATAAAATAAGAGACATTATGTCAGGTGTATCTAAAAAAAAATTCCCTAGACAATGAAAGATGTCACAAAATAAACGAGACATTTAAAGAGATGTAGTATGAAAAAAGTCCACGTACAATTATCTTCCACATTCAGAAGCAAACGTCGCGAGATATAAGCAGAATTCCCGACTGCTATATCGGAATAAGGAATATGAAGTGCACGTTCACTCAGTCAAACTCAGCAGAGACCCAGTTGCAAAGATGACAGGAAATCGGAGAACCGGCGCGCGAAGCGAGGCGAATTCGTTTCTACATTAGACAGAAACTCATAACCTGTTCGCCGGGGCGAGAGCGGTGCACTCGTCTCGTTGCAGGCAATTCATAGACAATGACGCCTTCAGATCTTTCGCAGGGCCCCGTGATATTAGGTCTTCCAATGCCGAGACAGGTCACGCGAACTAGTCTCTCGTCGAAATTAAAGTAAAACGACGTAGAAAATGCTCGCACACTTGGTGAAAAATTGTCGATACCTCGGAACTCTTATGAAACTCGGTGAAAAGAAGAAAGAAAAGAAAAGAAATGGTAGAATAAATTTTTTTTATCATCTTTTATCATTTCTGGGATCCTTGGAAGACAGATGGAACACCGAGTGCTATTCCCATAATTTGTTCAAGCTCTCGTGTAAGTCCACAACGATTCTCCGTGCAGTAATATAGGTTTAATTAAATTTAGTCGTGAACTCTGGTCGAAATTCCTCGCAGAGTAGTTCGTGTACAAGAAGTTTTAACTTCTATAGACATTAATTAACGAGGAGTTGCTCTTTTTCGTTAACCGAACAGCCCCGCAGATATCTCGAGGTATCTTTCCTACAAAACTTGGGAAACTCTGACATTGGCTTCCGACCAACAGGTTCAAAAGAGCCTGCCTTGCGTGACAAGCCGTGACAAAGGAACGAATGCTTAGGATTAAATTGTGTTCTCTCCGCTACGAAGCCGAACAGAGTGATAACTACTTCATCAATGGAGGATAGCATTTTTTTGCTGAATGGATATTTCGTAAAATTAATGCAATTTTACTAGGTAACGATATCGATTATCTGACACTTGGTATTTAATATTTACTATTGAATATATCATGTATCAATTGATTAGGAGTCGCTAGATCACTAAAATTTTTGTTTGTCAGTCAGTGCCTCGATCACCGATTGAATGGCTTCCCTAGCAAGGGACAAACTAGTTTCGAGACGGGACTCTTTCCCAGAAATCTGACAGAAACAGAATTGGCAGAGAGAGAGAGAGAGAGAGAGAGAGTTAAAGAAGGGAATGAAATATAAAAATAACAATGGCACGGGATTAACAGCGTAGCAGGAAAATGAGAACAGAGAGAATGAAAAAGGAGAAACGGCGCACAATGGCCGACTGTGGCTGTTCCGGTGATTTATTCCGGCTTTCAACAGCTCGCCGCCCAGGCTTCCCTCTTTTCCTCTATCATCCTCTCTCTCTCTCTCTCTCTCTTCCTTCACGCTCCCGTGCCTCCTTTTAATTTTAGGGACCTCTAATTCAGGCAACGGTACCAAGTAAATTTAAACTCCACCTGTTTTTCTTTCTTTTTTTTTTTTTTTTTTTTTTGCCTACGCTTTGATCGAACTCCGAGCAAAAGCAGCACGTCAATCCGAAGCTCGGTTCGGCAAACTTTCTCGAACTCCTGTGGCCAACAATCGTCTAATTGGCAAAGTTTTGCAGATGGTCGTTGAACAAACTGTGAGTTCATTAGATCAGCTGGACAGCCAGTTGATTCTTGGTATGGCAGTTGGATGCTCGATTTGCCATTTGACGATTGACTCGAAGCGAAGCTGTTAGATTAGCCGAACATCTGCGTGATTTTTCGAATTGAATTTCACGTCATTTGACTGAAGCGAACTACTAGATTAGTTTGGGCGTATCCAGTTGATTCTTGATAGCTTTCGAACATTGTCCAACGATATTTCGAATTCAAATTACTTCGTAATCTTGATGTTTCAAGCGATCGAGTTCACACTGGCTGTCAGTAATTTGACGTTCGAATATTTCTGTCACATTGCGAGGCAACACGTGTCAAAATCTCTTCTTAAAAATCATTTTAACGTCATTTCAACTCCATCAAATCGTTTTTTTTTTAAATCTCGAAATCTACGATATCCGATATCTTCAAAGTTAAAATTCATATTACTGGCCGTGCAAGGATGGCCAGTTGTGTTTTTTTAAAAGTCTGAAACCTGGATGAACTGTGGATAAAGTGTGGGACTACATGATCGTTTTCATTGATCCTTGAACTCTGGCGAACATTCGACTAGCCAGTATTAGAGCTGACTCTAGTCAGACGCAAGTATCGTTCATCAAGCATCGAGAGAATCCTCGAGATGGAGGATCGGCCGCGTGGCTTGTTGGATTAAGCAGGCCTAGCTGAAGGTGATTAGGGAAACGGATTGCTGGAGACATCTGATTCCGATTCCAGGTCAGTTTGGATCGAGTGTCGCTGACGCGGCACTACATTTCTCAGAAGCTGCGGTGAGCTTTTTCGGCGATATATCGGGGAAATATATCGATCGTACTTTGTGTCCACGATACCATGTCTTTCGAACTTCGACTTCGAGCTCGAAAATGAGCCAATTTCACGAGACGTCAGATTTTACTTTTGGCGTAACGAGAATCAATTATGTTTCATGAATTATTCATTTTTTTTTTTTTTTTAAATTAATTTAAACCTCGTCTAAATGAAATTCGACTGAAAATGATGTTTTTTTTTACACCTAACCTAACTAAACAAAAACGCGTGCGTCAAATTTCATAGAAATTATCTCGATCTAACCTAAGCTAGTTGAAATTCACTAAAAATTGAGCCATTGCGGGAAAATCCAGGCTGTTCAGTGACGAAATTCAACTCGGACATAACCTAGATTGCAGCGAGCCGTCCCTAACCTAACTCTCCTCTCTTGAAAGAAACCTAACCTAAACCATTTAACGAACAGAACAACTAAAAAAAAGAAAGAAAGAAAGAAAATAAAAGGTCTGTAATCACATTTCGCGAGAGATTTACCAAGCGAATCTCAACTCTTGCAAAAATAAAGAAGCCGCGTCCCTTCAAACGAACCTAACCTAACTCGAGTTAGGCAACTCTCTCAAAAGACAAATCAACCGTGTTCAACCAACGAAATAACAGAAAAGTAGAAAACAAAAAAAAAAAAAAAAGAAGACATCGCCTGTAACCAGATTTATCGAACTACAGCGCAAACTGCAGAAATAAAAAAAAAAAAAAAAAAAAAAAAAGCAGAACACGCGTTGCAAAACACGATGCGAAGATCGGTCGAGCCAACGTTTCACACAAGAGAGGAATTACGCGTACGCTGAGAGCAATCCATGCATTTCAACTGGATTATTTTATTTAGCGTTGGTCGCGTAAACACGCGATTTTTAACCGCGAGCTACACATAAACACGCGAGAGCAAGATCGTCGAGGATAAACAATTCGATATTCGCGGGGAAATCGGTGACCAACCGCGCTTGTAATCTCCAGCGACGTGCTATTTTCATCGTTGTCCCGTCTCCTGGAACTAATGCCCGCGTACGTAAACGGAAAAATTAAGCGGCGGCCATTTGGTTAATCGATCGGTCGAGCGTACACCATCTGTTTGACATTTTACCGATTCCACGTGGGCCGTGCCAGTGTCCTTCGCGTCGATCGTGATTTTTAATCTGATTACGAATCTCCGCGTGCGTTATCGCGCACGAAAGGGGGACAGGTTTATCTTTGAATTATTGAAAAAGTATTTTATTTCTTTTTTTTTCTTTTATTGCCAAAGAATTCAGAAATCGTGAAGTTCGGTTTAAAGTATACATCGCTCGGCGAGAATAGTGCGGAATGATCTGATGAAGAAAAAGGATAGATTCGTGAGAGCTATGTGTTTTTTTATATTAATCTCGCTGAAGGCAGAGATATAAATTCGCAGCCCATGCGGTGGAAATTCAGTTCGCTGTTTTTCAAACGAGATCACCAACTCTTTTCACACTTCTCGCGCCGATTCTCCACCGGCCGGAGAAAGAAAGAGAGAGAAAGAGAGAGAGAGAGTAGATGCGCTAGTTTCGGAACAAGCCACGCACAGTACCGCGTATCACAGTCCGCAGAAACTTGTTGCACGATCTCACTATTTTCCTATTTAGCCAACTACCATCCGCGATTACTATGCTTGTGCGTATATTTGCGTGGGCACTGTTCCTCCGTCATCAAATCAACGCTAATTCCATTAGTGTCTCACCGACACAGAATCCTCGAAATTTTCGAACGCTCTCTATTTCCTTGCCAACGATTGCCTTTGATTTCCAATTTTCTTCTTCTTTTTTTTTTTTTTTTTTTTTTTCTATTCGATCGATAGTTGCTTCGCTACAACACGTCGATCAAATGTGTTTTTTTTCCCCCTCCCTGTTTGTTTATTCGAAAGATTCGAAAAGGTTCGCACTGTGTGAGAGTGCAGCTTTGAAGTTGCTCGCGGTTTGATACACCGAATGAAAATATATCCCGACTTTGTACGTGCTATGACTGGTTGTACGTTTGTTTGTTCCCGAAGAGGGATGAAATCCGTTTCGCGTCGGGGAAAAATTTCACCAACGTTCAAAGGATAAGGACACGGATTTTTTTAAGCATCTTGTGAGAATGAAAGACCAGTGCAGAACTAGGGGAGACAAAAGTAGTTTCTAACGTCGTTTCAACTCTCGGCGATGATGCACAGACGAAAATTAGGGAAGAATGTTTGATCCACTTTGGGCAAAGTTCTAAACTAAATTCATACATAATTCACGCGTCGAATGTACACAGCCATAGGAATTACGGCGGGTGTTATCTAACATCGATACCGCGTTACGTAGTTGGCGAAGTAACAATTGTCCCTTTAGCACAATTCTATACTCCAATAATAGAGTCTCGCGGATTTTTTGTAGCACGTTACTTCACACTTTTACGATTATATATATCCTCCTGCTTCCTTAATCGCTGCGGCTGAAACATTCGAACTGTTTCGTAACTCCGTGAAAAAGGTATTCGTACGACGAAGCGTGGAAAATTCAGAGCTGAGGGTGGTCTTCACAAAAATCAAGTGACTTGATAAATCGACTTGATGGACTGTTGGAAATTAGAAAAATGCGAAAGATTGTTAAGTAGACGTGGAAGAATACCGAAGAATCGCGAGAAAACTAAAGCAGAAATTATTAGAAAAACGTTCAAATGCTCAAAGTTCGGTGAAGAAGAGACACCAGACGGTGGATCTAATCATTTTCAAAAAACGTTCAAACGTTCCTGAAAATGGACTTCGGAACTTCGACGATTGACAAAAGTATCCACCCAATGATGAAAAGAGTCATTGAAAGGAACGAGATCAAGTGGAATTCCACCAAGTTCTAACGATTTCAATAAAGTATCGACGACTTTACAATCCTCGCTGTGTGCACTGAAACACTTGTACTTCCTTTTCAACCACTAACTCGTCGCTCGACAACACAGCGACCCTCGAGCGAGGGTTCGAACAAGTTTCTGAAGAAAAAAAGAAAACGAATTTTCCAAGCGAGAAAGAGAGGGAACGATGAGGGAACGATGGTAAGAACGCAAACAAGTCGCTCGTTACGCATACGAGTTCCATATTCATTCTCTCCCCGGTCGCTGCCGACAATACGTTCACCTGCAAGTTTTTGAAACGATGGGAGGCGCACAGGGACTTCAAGAATCGGCAAAGCGCGCATTTCCTCGGTGGTTCGGTTATCGACGCGTTCGCGTTCGTTTCCTGCATCGTGTCTTTTCCACCTGTCAGCCCCACTCCGACTTCCGAGCCTCTGCCCATCTGCCGACAGAAATTATTAACATTATTTTATTAATACACAATTTATAACTATATATATATAAAATAATATATATATATATGCATCAATAAAATATATATATACATATATAGTTATAAAATATATATATACATATATAGTTATAAATTGTGTATCAATAAAATAATATATACATATATATATATGCATCAATAAAATAATATATATATATGTGCATTAATAAAATAATATATATATGTGCATCAATAAAATAATATATATATATATATATATGTGCATCAATAAAATAATATATATGTGTGCATCAATAAAATAATATATATGTGTGCATCAATAAAATAATATATATATATATATATATGTGCATCAATAAAATAATATATATGTGTGCATCAATAAAATTATATATATATAGTTATAAATTGTGTATCAATAAAATAATATATATATATATATGTATCAATAAAATATATATACATATATAGTTATAAATTGTGTATCAATAATATATATTAAATAATATATATATATTATCAATAAAAAATATATATATATTATCAATAAAAATATATATATATATTATCAATAAAAAATATATATATATCGCAATTACATAGAACAATTATTATATCGAAATGAATGGCAACTTGCGCACGTTAATGCGTATTATAGCCACGAAAGAAGAAAGAAAATACACCAGGAGTCGTTAATTCCGCGCGAATGGGTGTAACGTCAATCTAAATTTAACTATCGTCAGGCATAATTTCGACGACGACGACGACGACGACGACTCACGGTGATGATGGAAGGACGTGGCGCGCCGGTGAAGTGCTCAATCACTTCCCAGTTGGATTTCCTCAACGGTGTGTGAGGCGTTCGAGGCGTGTTGGGCGTGTGCGGCTGAGAGGATGGCATGGACGACTTGGATCCCGGGGGATCGAGCAGCAGCTCGACCCTCGGCTTCCCGCCGTCGTTGCTGCTCACGTGCTGTCGCAGGCTGGCCCATCTTCTGGTGCTTCTCATCGAGCCGGTTACTGATCTGCTGCTGGCCACCTCGCCCTGTAAATCAAATCGTGAATCATTGAATCGGGCCATAACGGCCACAAGTGAATCGAATTCTTTCGACGCTGAGAAATTCGACGCGTCGATGTGAATTGGCTTCGCGATGGAGGAGAGAGGCTTCTTCTAAGAGGAGGAGACTGTTCGTGTTTTCTCGAACGTGGAGAATGAAGATAATACGATTCGACGAGATATATAACGGCAGATCGAATTACAATTTTATTCCATTCGGTTTCTCGCAAATTGAATTCCCAATTTATCTCGCGAATATTTATATCATTTGAACCGTGCTTTATTTATTGTCGCCAACTGAAATTTCACTTGGTACGTGCTTCGTTTAACTGTCCGCCAATTTCGTTTATTACGCTGCGTATTCGTTATGCTTCGCGGTCGTTACAGACGTATTATTCATTCAATTTCGTTCGGGATTTTCTTTTGTTATCTACTTTAGTAGAATTCTCCGCTTCGCTTCGGATCGACGTACTTTACTTACGTAAAATTGCGTGCCTCGTTTAATACTTCGTTTTCTACTCTGTTCATTTCGTCTTTTTGCATCATTGGACTGGCGCTAGCTATTCAGTGTAGTGCATGGATATACGGCCATTAGAAAGCAATCTCAGATTTATTTATTAAAGTCCGCGTTTAAACTTTCCTCCGACGCGAAGTGAAAACGCACCGGGATCCGTCTTTAGAGAAACAACAAAGAGACGAATATATAATACGTGTCAGAATTTTATTACTCGCTCTCTCGCCTTGTCTCTGGCTTCTATCCCTCACCCCAACGTCCTTTCTTCTTCACATATTTTTTTCCCTCCCCTTTTATCTCTCGTCCTGAAGAAACGAAGCCATTATATCAAGAGACACCTGGCTCGTGTTCCGGAGATTGGAAAGCTACGAAACCGTGCTCTTGTCCTCTTTAGCGATTTTATAGCACGCAGATACTTTTGTTGAGAGATTCCAGGTTGGGAATTTACGCCTGTGCGACATCGTCAGATGTCTCTGATCCGTAAAAAAATCACGTGACACCACAGTGTTAACACGTTCCGTGCCATGTGTACCACCGGTGGTACACGTTAAACGATCTTCAGGCTATGTGTACCACAAGTACACAATGTGATAGCTACTCTAAACAAGAGAATTACTTATCGATTGATGATGTAATG